ATATTTTATATATATTATTATATATATATATATATATGTTATATATATATATATATAGTCGCCATGAGCAACTAAGAATTTACCATTGAAATCGTATCAGCCTTAGTGCTTGAAGTATCAAAACCGGACCTTGCAGACCTTCCACAGAAGGAATAGCAGTACCATGAATGCTCGTAGACCTGGCGGTTTAAAAGACAGTTTTTACATAACAACAACAACATTTAAATTAGATATCAAGGAATAGAAATATCGCACATTTTGAAGAAATAGATGATCACACGGATTAGCTTCCGGGGTGCGTTGCATAGCAGTCACGGGATAGCTTTTTTGGATTTTTGAGGACGCACGTCACATTATTGTCTATACTATTCGCAGCTTTGACGGAGGTGTTCAGCGTAGAACAATTTTCGTGTGGTCTGTTTTTCCTGGTCTGCTAAGTATCTGAGTTTTTTTCTCAAGCAAGTTGAACTTCGCTGCAAAATCGATTCATTATTAGTAGCTCTGCTTGCTTTCTCCACAAACGACACTGGCCTATGTTTACATATATATATATATATATATCTCACAGCAGCAGTAACGTCTATTGCGCGTTTGGAACACCTTCTGCGACTTCATAGCTTCTATTCAGCCTCTACGGCTCGTCAATTGCGTTTGGCAGCTGGGTCTATTTCAAACAGACGATTGTGTGTTTCCGCTGGACTAAGTCATCACAAAGCGCTTTTCTATAGGTAAACTTGGGCCGGGAAGGTTTTATGGCCGTAAGGTGCGATAACGCAGCACTGAGGCTGTAAAAGCAATTGAAAATATTAACGCGTACAGGCGAAATACTACTATAGAAGTCTTGCTGAAAAAATACTATACATCGTAGCCATAGCCGTTAGAACTGATTTGTAGCGCGCCGCTGCCGTTTATTAAGACCGGCCAAACATTGGGTACAGATTGAAGGTACGGAAATGGATATACGATTATCTTGCCATGCTACTGCAGGCGCTCGGGACGTTGTAATAGAGAAACGGTGCTTATTTATGTTAGAAACTAAATGAAGAAAGCCAAGGTCACCAGTGAAATACATACTTAAAGCTAACTTCGAAGTTCAACCGCATATACAAGTCTACACGCCTACTGCGTATTTCGTGTTAGGATCTGTTCGTTCTATTTGCCCCGCTCTCAAAACAGGTTTTCCCCCACATGCTTATTCTGCTTCATACTTCCCTATCGACTACATGTGCTACGATATGTGCTCCGACCAAAACGACGAACGAGCCAGAAAATAGCCATAACTGCTCGTTGTGGCCTGTCGTCACTTGGAATAGAGAAAAGTCGACTAAATTTGGATTGGACATTGTCCTGGTACGCCCATTCAAATGATTGGATTAAGGAACTGTGTCAGTACGTGCATTCACGTACAGGCGTTTGGACGTAGTTGGACGTGCTACGCTGCTTACGTCGAGAGACGGAGAAGAAAAGAGAGAAATTGGTTTAGATTTAAGCCGTAAAAGTTGCTGCTATATTCAATCTGAGCGATGTATAGTTTACCAATTGATATCTGGCAATAAAATTTCTACTAACACATTGGCTCGAAGGGTTGACTCATTTATGGATACAAAAAGGTCACTAAATTTCTGCACAGGGTAACGTCAGCAGCAGGCTCCACAACTACGCTTACGATCAATCGATTCCCGTGACAGCGGAGCGAAGTGATCGTAAATAACGTAAAATTATATCAACAGGAACAATGGTTCCTGAAAAGCGGTCGATGGTCCTTAGCATACTTTAGATAATACTTTGTGTTTGTTTATAATGTTTTTCGGTAATTTAAGACGAAACAGATCTATGAATTTATACTATAATTGAAACATCTAGCAACACACTGCCATTTTGAATCTAGAATAGTCTATTTCAGTCAGCAGATTACTCGAAGTTTAGGTGTTATTTTGCTTGTTAGTAGGCATTTATACACGTATTAAGATATTTGCAATCGTCTGAGCAACTCCGAAATAAACTATCTGTCACCGAAAATCGGTTCGGATTAATGCGGCAAAAAACATATCGTCCGCATATTCTTGTAGCCATAACAGGAATAACAGCTGATGGTAAGCTCGTCATCTAGATTTTATCGTTGACACCAAAATTTCTATATGAAGGCTATTTTTACCTTTTCTATTTACATGTGTAGGATCGCATATATATATATATATATATAACAGATAATTACATTATGATTTAATCCGTACGAGCGATACGTAAGATATCTGCAATTTACCATAATTTAAATTTTTACTAAATTCCTAAAATTTGCAAGCTGTCTACTGTGAAGTCAAACGTACGAGATCGCTGAAACGGTCAGGTGTTGTTTCGTAGTAAATGCTCTG